GGCCTCGCCTGCAGCCTGCTCCTCCCTTGCTCTGTATTTTTTGCTGTGATAACGATACGTCTGCCCGTGTGTCTGTGAGCTGGGCGCTTCCTGGCAGACAGGTTAATGGGACTGTCGTCACAGGAGCAAGGAGCGAGGAGCTGGGGTGAATTACACGCTCAGAAAGGAGCAGAGTTTGGTGGGAGCACACCTGGAGAGGGGCTAGCGTCACTTCTGCCCCCAGAGTGCAGATTGGACAAGTCCGCCGGCAGACTGGTGTGAAAGAGAGAAGGTTTTTGCCAGGTGGTTTCAGCAGCACTGTAAATTAGGACAGAGCGTGGCTCAAGGACTTTGGAGTCTTAGTGTTGCATAAGGATTTAGCACAGCTCCTTATCATAACATGTTTCCGTTTTTTAATAATTAGCTTATCAGGTATGCAGTTTTGGGAACTCCTGGTGCAGTAAGATCAAGCTGTTGTTTTCATACTTGATGCATACTTCACTGTGTTTATAAAAGCTTTGAATCAATTTCTGGAAATAATAGTAATGTTTAAGGGGTTTCTGAAAAAGAGTCATGATTCTTTTATAAGCTAGGTAAGTGGAATAATGTGAAAACAATCTATATGGGCCTTAAATGAAGTGTACTACTCTAGAAAAAATGTTTCTTCAGAGTTTCTTAACTTTTTGCAGTTGACGAAACTTGTGACTAGTTTTCACCTCTTTTGTCTTCACAGTCAGATACGGGAAAACATATATGGAGTTTCTTATTGTTTACTTCCTTTTCTAGCTCTGTGAAATGCCTCAATTATATCTATTCCTAGTCTTACATATATATATATATAAAGAAGGTCCAATAATCAGCAGAAACGCTCAGCACTAGTATCTTGGAATTTGTATTTACTATTTCATGTTTCTGCTTTCGCTAGAGAACTCTAGGGAAATGCTGTGTGACTATTGATACCTGGCATTGTAATTAAAGGTTATAGGCGAGTGTTTATGTAATTGTTGTAAATAGTTTCACAGGGACCTAGTTTATTTAGACCATAAACTCCTACTTTTCTTTCTTCCCTATTGTTTTGCAAACTCGGAGCTGGATATACGATATGAGAAGTAGTGCTGCAGTTTCCCAATTAAACCTGCATTTTGATTATTTTTCCCATTTATGCTTAAATAGTTTTAAGGGAAAACCTACTGTGCTGAATTTTGTAATGAGATGCCAAGATTTTGAGAACTTGTGAAGGAACTGAAAACATGTGGTGGTTCACTTGCTGCACAGCTGGTGATGTTTTTTTTTTTTATTTTACTCCGGTAGTGTTGTTAATTTATTCTACTTACTTCTTTTCTGCCTGTGAAGCCAAGGAAATCCTAGCATTTTATCAGTGAGGGAGCCTAGGGACTGGGATATGAAATACAGGGAAGAAGCCATGCGACAGCTTTACTCTAAAATATATGTTTAAGAACAGCTTACAGTAATAAAATATTACTCTACATTAATAGTCCTGTTAACATCAATGGACTAGAAACTCAAGCAAAAGCTTGAATGTGAGGAAAAGGTTTACCTACATCTCAGAAAAGCTGTCTATTTTTAGTGTCTATTGAAATTGATTTTTTTCTCTCTATATACACACGCCTTACCCAGGAGACCCATGAGACAGAGTCATTCCCTTGAGTAATATGCTGTATAGCTTTTGTGAGTAATTGCACTCCTGTTCAGTATCATACTTAAAAACTTACTTAAGTCTTATGGAAATCAGTGAAATTAAATAAATTTCTAAGTGCTTTGCATAAGAGAAGCCGTAGCCCTGAAGTCCAAACACTGGCTTTGAAACAGGAACAAAGTTGTTGTAGCAAATCTTTTTCTACCTCACTGAAACTCTTCTAGAGTCCTTCCCTTTCCTTTTTTACTGTAAATTATCAGTCACAGCTGAAAGACTTGTGCAAGTCAAGTGATATTTGTTAAAAAGAAACATTATGTAAATATTTGTATTTAAGCTATCTTCTGCTTGCCCTTTTTATGCATGCAGTTCAAAGTCAAAATAATGTTGATATCACGTACAGTGCTTCCCAGTATATTTTTCTTCTTTTTTTTATTTAAATATAGAGTATGTGAAAAACACAGGCCCTCTTTTAGTACAAAGACTTCTACTGCTTTTCTCACTCTTTTTATGACACATTATAAAAAAAAGTCCTTCCTGGAAATCCTTGAAAGGACTTGGCCACACTGTCAGACGGCATTGCACTTTAGCATCCATATGAACCACGTGGAGAACTGTGAAGTCGTTCTTTCAAGCATTGCAGTGCATTTTGAATTACGTGTGTATCTTAATTCTGCAGACGTCTTCCTCACCTGGGTTGTCTCCTACAGCCATTCACGTTGGTGGGTGATCTGTCATTTGTTGCTCATGGATCTGATTTTGTAAATTGAGAGAAAGTTGCAAGCCCTGTGAAAGCATAGGGTGTGTATGGTAGGTTAATTATGTTTAAAATGATCAGTGGAGTCTTCAACAGTATATTTTTTTGTCAGCATTTGTTTTTTCAAAGGTTATTTGCATATTGGCAAATACCAAATTTACATGTTTCATTTGGAGGCGTTTTCTTTTTGTGCTATTGGTTTTTTGCTCAATTTTTTTTTTATAATAGAAAACTGCTTTAACTTGGGCCAAAACTTAATTAAATAGTTTAATTTAAAGTTTCCTTGATAAATGCATTTGCACAGTTTTCACCCCAGAAGTAGGGTTTATCTCTCACTGAAGTCACAGGACTGGTTGGCTTTTGTAGAGCAGATGCTATCCCTGCTAATCGTGAATTTTAAAAATATTTTTGGTTTTAAGGGCGATAGTTAAGCTGAGGGCCATTTAGATGGAAAGCAAGCAAGCAGACTTTCACAAGAGAATTTTCATCTACCATGGTTTTGTTTCAAGCCTGGAGAAAAAAGATTGAGCTGGCCTGAGGTCAAATTGCATTTTAAACGCTTATCCCTCTTGACTGTACCTCTTAAATAATAATTCTGACTGTGTTCGAGTCTTTGAACTATTCTGGTCATACTGCTTTTAAGCTGGATCTCTGGCCTGCACCATTTCTGCTTTGCAGCTGTATTACCTTGGCAGATCCAGTGTAGTTTGGTTCCTCTAAGTCTCTTCCTTTTGGGAGCTGGTGTTAGCACCTGATTGAAGTAACTCAGAAATAGCTTTTTCATCTCTTTCTTTTTTAAGACTTTTTATTATTTACCCTAAATTATGCAACACAAATAGCAAAAGGGTTTTGTTTTGTTTTTTAAAGCCGGTATACCTCTTTTCATGCTAGGTTTTGTAAGCTGTCTTCCAACCTACTTAATTGTCTCTTTGCCTGGGAGGTATAGACAGCCTTCTGCAGCATGCTCTCTATGAGCTCTCCAACAGGTTATTTCTCATTAGCATATTGAAAATCTCTCTTTTGCCTTCTTTGGAAAGAAGATACCTTGCAAGATTAACAGAAGTGAGGCAAGAGCTTTTTTCCAAACAGAAACTTCTACGCTGTTTCTTCAGAGGTCTTTGATATCAATAGTACTTTCTCTGTGCTGTTTTTTCCTTACCTTTTGGCTTCCATCATGCAGTCTCCTTTGATTTTAAATGTATGTTCAAGCAATGCCTAACACAAACCTCAGGTTATAAAAAAAGTATATGTTTAAAAAAAAGTATCCTGCTAACTTGGGACTGTGATAATACAGGCCTCGATTCAGGAAAGCAGGTAAGCAAAGTCTGCCTTAAATTGTTCACTCAGTGCAGCACTTAAACAGGTCTCTACATCCCGATGACTTTAAGTGCATACTTAAGATCCATTAAGTTTTTGTCCTGGCTTATCCTGGGTAAAAAACCTTAGGGTTTTTCTTGGGCTTCTGTTTTACTTTAAGAAAATACAAGTGGAAAAGTAGAAGTGGAAAACTTTATTCCTAAAGCTTGACCCATTCTTTCCCCCGTTCCACCCAATCCTATGATTTCTGGTAGGATTATAACTCAAATATTTGAGGATTCTGGCTTTCAAGATCGAGACATAAAATTACTGATACTGTCCTTTCCGGATTAAGAACCTCTTAACAAGTGCTGAGACAACTCAGCAGTGTGTGAAGTTTTTTTAAAAACTGATATAAATTGTCTTTGAGTGAAAAAGAGAACGATTTCAGATCTAGGATTTTATTTGATGATTTCTGCATGATGCTGTTCTTTAAAGGAACCCTTTCATTAGCTGTAGTAACACTAAGTATTATGTTTTCAACTACAACATCATCTTACTGGGATTATAATATGTATCATTGTAACACTGTGTGCTTATTTAAATGGTAAAGGCTTAGATAAGCTTTTAGCACACTTCCTGTGTGTATATACATCAGGAAACTGAAGACTTTATAGAGATCTATAAAGGCTGAAGGCAGAATCCTAAACTCATACAGCCAATTGATTTCAGTGGACGTCCCTTTGGGCCAGGCCTCTTTTGGATGAGGTCTCTTGTTTCCAGTGCAAACACAGGGGCTAAACTTCATCCTAAATATGGTTGTGTAATATGTGACCGGAAACATTACATCAAACAATGTTGTTAACATAGCACTTAGCTGCTGTCCAAGATCCATTAGAAGTTGTCTATTTTTGGTATGCGTCATTTAGAAGGAAACTTTTGAATACTTTCAGTTGTTTTGCAGATATTTGCGAAGAGCCCTTTCTGAGCCTAGTCAAACACTTTGCAAACTGGGTGGCAGATGAAGGCATTTGAGTCTGCTTGGAGGCAAGACACCTTGTAAGAGTGAATAAATGTGATACTCAGAAGCAAGATCTGGAAAGTGAGCTTGCAATAGGGAGGAGCAATGAGTAAAAAGGGGTTACAGGTCAGGAGAAGGATCTTTACAGCAGCATCACAAGAATAAATAGGTGAATATGGATGTAGCAACAAAAAATGTTGCAGAATGAGGAGGAGCCTCAGAGGAATATGATGAAATAGCTATTGGGGATGAAATTGTAATGGCGTTTGCAGATACAAAGCTAAAGGAGGGCAAGAATTGAAGAATATGTGAAAAACAGATCAAAGGAGGAGGAAGATGGAAGAGTGTTTCTGAGCACTGGCCAGGGAGAGATCATTGGAGAGTTCAATGAGAGTGTTTTTTTTTCAGAGCACCAGGATGGAATTTGGATTGCTTGTAATTCCTTTTGTCTAGTTTCATTTTGCGTATTTTCCATTTGTTGAAACAGCATAGTCATTGACTTTGGAAAGGAAAGGGAAGTGGAATGGTAATTGGTGGAGTCAAGGTTCATATTTAAAATGAAAGTAAGAATTCTTTTAATGAAGGAGATTGAATCAAGGAGGAAGTGGTTGTGGAGAAGGATAAGATGGGCTGAGAATAGCTATGAGAGAGATCTGTAGGTAGGATGCTGTCACTGAGCCAGTGCCATCTGTATGTGTGAGGGAGGTGGCGGAAGGAGTTGTAGAATGGAGAAGAAATGGCAAGCTCAAGACGTGTGGGGAAAATCACTTTGTATTTTTCTGCTTTTTTCAGGAGGAATTGATGAAATCTTTTTTAGAGAAAGAAATGGGAGCAGGAGATGAAAAAGGCTTGAAGAATGAACCAG